CTAAAGTAGCCGGTCGATATATGATCTTAAGCATTATTGAGAGTTTGAGAAAATATACATACTTATACGTATATATTGTATGTGAGTTTACAAAAGTTTTTTATCGATAACATTGTTAAAACACTAAAGCTCGTCAATAACTACTAGACCAAAAAAAAAAGAAAATCGGTGATACATAGAGAGGAAAAAGGCCTTCTTCTTCTTCTTCTATCAGCCCATTTCCCAATAACTTGAGATCGGCGCAGTACATCTTCTGTACTGCTGATAGGATTTGGCAAAACTTTTACGACCGGCCGCCTGCCTGACGTCAACCATCCTTGGGAATGCTATTGTCTCTCTTTGTAAAAGGTCTTCCTTTTTTCTTTTCTTTTTGTCTTTCTTTTTGAAAAAGGCCTTAATATATAATAATATGTAGATAATAATAACAATAGCTTTGGCGATGTAAAATTAAGTCTTTGACTCCCTCCAGATATAGTTACAAGAATATTATTGAAATACATCAATTTAGACCAAAATACTGTGGTTTACATTTAGAAGTTTTTGTAAACATCCTGAAAATATTTAAAAATTATAAAGGAGGGATTTTCAATGATAACATATTGTATATAAGCGCATATGCAATTGCACTATCGATTTCTTTCATTCTTTTAGTCTGGTGAGTCGACTATTCGGTAAGAAATGTGGCTCATGCTTTAAGGCGTAGGAGCTTATTACAGCCAATAACTTAATTCTGGACCAGGAACTCGAACCTAGAAACTACACCAATTTAGTTACTTAAAAGTATGTAGTCAGCCTTCTTTAATTTCCCACTGCTGGGTACGGGCCTTCCTTCAATACGATGGGGATCAAGCCATAGACCACCACGCTGGCCAAGTGCCGATTGGTGGACTTCACACGTCTTTCGTAAACTTGCTAGGTTCTCTCAGACATACATTTTCCTCACGATGTTTTCTTTCACCGTAAGGCAAGTGGTAATTATTTTAGCAATAATTCACACATGTACATATGTATAAGAAGTGCGAGCGTGTTAATCCACTGCCTATGTTCTGTATTCTGAAAAAAATAGCACGACCCTAAATAATTATTTTCTCAGAATGTATATTGACTAAATCTTAAACTCCATGGAACTCCCTAAATTGATAAACAAAATAGCTCACTCTTATAGTATATTCACGACACGAAAAATCGCTTTAACTTAAAAAAAGGCTTGTATAAATTGTAATATCACTTAGAACTCAATAAAAACAATTTGAAGTAAAAGGGCGAAAAGATCGTGTTACGTGTATATTTTGCTTATATTGAAAATTTGATATAATACTACATTATCTACATATATTACGATCATATTAATCAAACTTGGCCCTTTATTCTCCTATAAATAGAATACTAAAACAATATAATATCTTACACAGAAACTCGATATCGACATATTTTCTAATAATTAAATTTGAAAAATTTAAGTCTCTGATATTAAACTGCTTAATAGTTACTTATGGTGATAGTTTTTAACTTGTATTTAATGTATTGCTAATTTGTTTATTTTTTTCTCATGATAGACATTGCTTCTTTTTTCTTTTGTTGCTTTAAATAGCTAATTATAATAGTGTCTTTAATTTGTTTTGTTCATAATTTATAGTGCGGTTAATTTTTTTTAATGCTCCGTGTAATTGTTTATGAATGTCGTGGTTACCTATAAGTATGATAACAGTTAGATTTAGACCTCCTTTGAACGATTGTGTATTTTTTTAACATGCTGTATATCATGTTGGTGATCCTAATTAAATAAATAATAAATAAAGATCTATATACATTATACATATTTTATTTTTTAAGATTGCTGTTATGTATTCTTCTTGGCTGCAAATTTTAATTATTCTTTCATAATAATGTTCTTAATAACAGGTTCGAGATTTTACATGCTACAAAATGACAGGAAAAAAATTACTAACATTATAAATACTAAATTTGTATGTGTGTATATTATTGTTAGTTCTTCAAACTGAGACGACTAACCGGATTTGTATGAAATTTTAAACTTAAATAAAACCAACTTTCAGGCACTAGAATGTAAAAAATAACTAAACGGGAGTTTTCATTTAGAATAGATATTAAATACCCAATCAGATATTTTCGAATTCGGTGCCAGCTGACAATATTTTAGGATATGAATATCTAATAGGTAAATATGAATTTTACGTATCGAAATATATTAGATTTGCTTTTCATGATTTGATTTGTTTTCATTTTTTTCATTTTTAGTGTAGACGTAATAAGCTGGTCATTTGTAAGAAGAAAGTTTTTAATAACATATTCGATTAGGCAATTTATTACCTCCAGGTAAATTTCTAAGAAAGTAATTAAATTTCTAAGAAATCTATTGTTAACTGTAACGCCGGCGTGTCCGCGGTCGTAGAGGGATTATTTAAAAAAATATAATTATTGATTTTTTTAACAACCGCTCGACCGATTTCGGTAAAATTAATATGGAAGCACCTGGGAAATATACCCTTTAAAGCAAAAAAAAGTTTTCAAATCGGTTCAGGCGTCTTCGAGTAATCGTTGAACATACATTAAAAAAAGATTCCGAGGAATTGAGAGCCCCATCCTTTTTGGAAGTCGGTTAAAAACAAAGACTACTCTTAGGCACTTAGGGATCAACTCAAGCGAACCGAGGCTAAATCAGTTATTCATAGTTGTAAAGAAAATTATAACTTAGACTTATGTTAAATAAATAAATGTAAACGTGATGATGTTCTCCTAGCCGATTCCGGCCACGGCGGCCAATCTCATTGAGACTAGCCAACTGCGCAGGAGATATTATAGTGCTCAAGTATACGCGCAGACACAAGTGCACTCTCTATTCCTGTCACTCTCATACTCCGGTGGGACGACTGCTCGACACGACCAGTGAGAGTTAAGGCGCGGGACCGACGGCTTTTACGTGCTCTCCGACGCACAGGGGTGAAACACCGCCAACTTCCCAACTCCTGGCTGTTACTGAGACTTACTATCAGAAAGACTCAATAACTAAACTTGGCCCGACCCGGGACTCGAACCCAGGACCTCCGAGTGTGCAGCCGTACATGCTAGCCACTACACCACCGAGGAAATGTAAACGTAATAATTATCTAAATGAAAATGAAAAAAAAAACTCAGTTTTAAACTAAATAGAGAGTGAATTAACTTTCTTTCAAAACCCGGTTAAAAAGTAATGAATGCAAGCCCACTATGTTAAAGGTCGCTTTCAAAACGTTTTCCACGTTTTACTACTAAATAGTACATATAATACTGTAAATGTATCCGTAGTGGGTGGTGTTGACATTCACTGAATTAAATTTTAACTTTGAATCGTCAGAAAAGAGAAATTGTAAAGGTTATACAATTGACATTATTATCTAGAACTAGAGTAGGTACGTTTTAACGATTAGTATAGAATAGTCTATATACTGTTATATACATATATTATTTTTTTCTAACTTAAACTTGACGTATTGTTGTAGATGGTAGGTCCACCACTATTGAAAGTAATTCTAAGTAGTGATTTCCATACAAAATAACCAGTTATGAACTTTTCAATTTTCCAGCTGTTCTTATGGGGTTTTCCTAATTTTTTTTATATTTAAACCATCCCTGATATACCTCCAACTAAACAAAAAAATATTCAACTCGGTTCAGCCGTTTTAGAGTTTTAGCGAGACTAACGAACAGCAATTATCACTTTAATCTACACTACTAATATAAAGAGATTTGGATTTTTGTATGTTTGTAACGAATAAACTCAAAAACTACATTACCGATTTAGATGATATTTAATAAAAAGATAGTTTGAGATCCTGGGAAGGACATAAGATATTTTTTAATTTTAGAAATCATCCCTTAAGAGGGCAATAATGGGGAAGAAAGTTTGTATGGGGAATCAACCTAGGGACGAGCCCGAGCGAGGCGAGGGTGAGTCACTAGTAAAGAATAGCTAGACATATTTTATTAGGACTTGCATCTTATTTAGATACATATAATTTGAGTTAAAACGTTTATTTAAATTTATTACGTAAATCAAAAATTATAACTTGAGCTCCCTGTTCTACAAGATCCTTTATACCCTCCTGCCTACCAGAGACACTTTTTTTGGAGTACGCTCTTGAAATTTTAGTATAATATCGGTAATAGGGTATTATATGCTGGAAAAATAGTAAAAAAAATCCTATATCTGGAAAAACGGTTTTTCACTATGTCCTATATGTAGGACAAAGTGACTATATTACTATGTGATTTGTGTAGGACATAGAATAGTTTATAAATATAAATTGTAATTAGAAAAGAAATAAAACACAAATACAACATATTGTAACCTTTATATTATATATAGGCATAATAAAGTTTCTGAAAAAAACAAAAAGAAAACTTCTTCTAAATAAAACTTTCAAAATTAAACATTTCTTGTCATAAAAATAACTAAATATTATTATGAACTTACAAATCAGTCGCAATTAGGAATATATTTAGATATTAATCAAGTTTTATCGACACTTATACCCTACCACTTATTATTACTCTAAGTTTTGATGAAAATCGGAATAACAATTCCTATTTGGCGTGAAGCAGAGATTAATATCACATTTTTTGCAAAATACTGTAGTTTTTTAGATGGGCAAATGTAGTATAACCTGATAAATCACCACGTCACAAACTGCGCCTTGCGGCGTAGCAAGAACCTTCAGCCCAACAGGGTTCGGTTTGTTAGGACAGTATTGGTGCATCGGACATTTTCCAGTAAACGGATTAATCATTTCGTCAATATTCTTGGGCAAGTTTTGTTCGTGACACATCTCCAAGATTCGATTAAACAGCGGCTGTATTTTCCAATTTTTTTGTATCTTCTGTTCTGCTGTCACTTCAGCATCATAAACACACTTCAGCCGTCGTCTGATAAAAAAGAATCTGTTCCTTGTCATAGCTATTGCAACTACTATACTTTCCACTTTTCTGACCAGTACATATCAATTTGTGGATACTGCAGTACTGACATTATCATTGTTATTCCTATATTCTGAATCTAATGTATCCTTGGTCCAGGTATCTTGAAAGCCATCATTATGTTGACGATTCCTAATTGCAATCTGGTGGGTTGACAAAGGCGACGATTGCGGCCCTGGAGCATCCTCGCTCAAACTGAGACCACGTCCACGACCGCGGCCACGTCTATATCCACGTGAAACACTGCTGCCACGTCCTTTTGAGCGGGGCCGTGATGACGTCGATGAGATATCAGAACTGCTAGAGAACGCCGGGGAAGCAGCTGCAGGAACCAATGTGTTTCCCTCTTCATCTGAACTGCTTGACTCACTGATTTGATGATCATTGGCTGTTTGTTCATCTCCCGAAAATTCAAACTCAGAATCGTTTAAAGCCTTCGCTATTCCATTGTCCGTTAAAACTAGAACAAACATAATTAAGATTAAATATCTATCAATGTACTTTATATAGTACATCGGAAGTCTAAGTACTAAAACTTTTATTGCCTACATTTGTCTTCTGCAAAGGACATAAAAAAATACAATACGTTGTCTTGCATGTTTTATACAATTACGCGAAAATACAACTGCATATCATCATTTTAAACTTCTAACTACTTTACTATCGCAAGAAGTGCAATAAAAATTTAGATTTACATAAGATTTAAATCGATTAACTTACCTCTGCGCGCAAGCATCGACACATGTCTGTCTTCCATCGCCATTTTGAAAAAAGAGGATCAAATGGGAACTGACATTTATCTCTATTTGGAAACCCAGATAGTCGATAGATGTCACCACGCAAACATTTTGGGATTACCATTTTAAAAACCGGTAGTATATTTTTTTAATTCCTAGGTCCTAGCTGTAGTACAGATGTAGGCAGGAGGATACTACGTGGGTCACCATAGTGGTGGTGAAATATTGATAAACACAAGCTAATCATATTATTATAAATGTGAAAGTTTGTGTGTGTGTGTGTGTGTATTATTAACTTCTTTAGGCTAAAATGGTTAAGCAGATTTGAATGAAGTTTTGTACTTACACAGATAGAATATGAGTAACACTAAAGCTACCGTTAGTAATAATATTCGCCAAAATTGCTATCTAAATGTAATAATTTTAAAAAGAAAGCGAGTTTAAGACGCTAGTACGAGTCGTATAGTATAAAGTATAATAAAATTAATATATTTTATATACAAAGACTATTTTCTATGGATATTATTATACACATTTATTCCTATGTAACAGCATAAAGGCGACACAAAATGGCGCCAGCTATTATGTTATGGAACAATGAACTCCTTTACACAAGAGCCCTGGCCGGCTGGATGGCCCTTCACCCACCGGAAGAGGTTTCCATGAAAAAATCTGCTCTGAAAGTGCTTAGAAGAAATTTCTGACTTAATTCATGAAACGCCTACTGGTTATGGCAGCGATTTATGTATTGTGGTACCAAAATCACGGACTAAATCATCTTGTTACTGTTTTTGTTAACTATCTACTCTAATATTATAAAGGCGTATTAGTAAGTTTGGATGTAGGGGGTAATCTCTGAAACTACTGAACCGATTCTTAGAATTCTGTCACTAATAAGAATTTTCATTACCACCCAGAGCTATAGGTTATTTTTTTATTTTGATAAAATGTGTTTATTTTCAGAAATCCTAAAAACTTTAATTAAATTCGGAAAAAATAAATTGAGTTTAATTGGCGTGCACTTACTAAACGGTTTGATATAAAGTATTAAAATTTATGGCAGTAAGACTCCTAGGAACTCAAACGAAGCGCGGGTAAGTCGGTTGTTGTACAATAATGTAAAGCTTATGAAAGTTAAGCTTAGTTCATGAAACTATACTTATATAATAGTTTGATATAATTCTCATCATTTTCTAGCTAAAGTTCTGTATATAGAATATTGTTTTTCTATATCTATACATATAATAAAATTCGAATTCACATCTGTAAATTAAATATTTTTTTTAGAAAATCTTATTGAAACAGTCATTTTTATTGATACAGAGGCCGAATCTATAGTTTGTAGAATTTTTGTCTGTCTGTCTGTCTTGGAACGCCTCACGAGAAAACTACTGGGCAGATTTTGATGAAATTTGGTTTGATGATAGCTGGTTATCTGTGTCATCATATATGATACTTTTTACTGCGGGAAAATATTTTATCTCTGAGATATCTATACTAAACGGTAAAACATGCCTAGGAACGAACCCGAGCAGAACGTGGGTGAGTCGCTAGTTTAATATAACTTCTTATAATTATCTAACTAAACATATATGTATAAAATATTGTTTTTATACTATAAAAATAACGCTTTTTTACACAAATTTTAATACGTAGGTTTTTTTTCTGTAAGTATTCGTAATAGTGTAAGTACCTATCGTTTAAGAAATTTTTTCTTATTCTTAATATTATATACACATTTTTTTCATATTTTCTTTTTACAACTTAATCGTAGTGAGATAATATTTCATTACTGAATAATAAATTCAGTAGCACTAAATTCTATTTACACAACCCTATCAAATTAAGTCTTACTTTAATCATGCACTGTGCGTGCGTGCTTCAGTAAGTTTCTTAAGTACTAACTGTTCGTGCAATCCGTTTAACGTATCAGTATATAAACAAAGTCAATTTCTTATATATCAAATTTCTATGTAAAAGCATTATTCCAAAGATTTATTGCTGCACGAAAGATGAAACAATAAACATTTCCATTTTTTATATATATTTATGCTAGATATCGCGTATTTGTACTAATTAGTGTTAATTGCTTAGTGGTCGAAAATCGACCGTAATCATTATTGAGAGAAAACATATTGTATTGATAGAATTTACCTATTTATTAAAAAACTAACATCGTATTTTTTTATTAATAACACTTAAGCTAAAAAAAAGAAAATCAGATGACAAACAGAGGATAAAAAGGTACTCAATAGTTTTCTTTGACTATTTATGTATAGATATATACGATCACTTACTTTCACCTGAATTGTGAAATTTTCACATAACAGTAAAAATGAAAGATATCTGTAGCTAAATATACGAAAATATAACATAATCAACATAACTCTACCAGGAAAAGTTCCACTACCTTAAATTTAACACCCGAAATAACGCAGTGGGTACTAGTATACAATTCAAATCTCCAATTACTATAATTGAACGGTGCGTTTCCTTGTCGTTCCCCTTAATAAAATAAATCTTCACCAATTTTTCACCGTATTAAAAAGAATCTTTAGATTACTTCCCCTCGAAATCGTAAGCGATTATTTAACTGAATAACATAATGATGGGTGATTTTTCATTGAAAATGGATTCAGGACCATTTTGGTCTCGGCTTGTATCCGGCTCGAAGGATCAAAATTATTGAGGTCACAATAATTATTTACATTACGTATTACGTTTCGAACATGCTACGATTAATTGGCACCTATTTATATATAAACACAATATAAGCTATATATAATACTGAATATCACACACATAACTTTAACATACAATAAAAAGAAACAGACAGATATACTAATAACATATCTATGTAGTTATGTACATAATGTACTAAAGATTTCCACGTAAACGCTAGAACAAAAGCTGACTAATAACTCATTATAGAAATTTAATTATTGAAATACATTATAATAGTGGGATTCGGTTTTAATGGCATAAATCTATACGCATCAAAATTTAATTATATGTATTTCCTCTTGCATTAATATTAATGTAAATAAATTATTCATATAATTAGATTGTATTTAGGCGATAAACGGTTGGGCGAATTTAATTTATTTATGAACAGTATATACGATTCATCTGAATTATAAACACTCAGTAATTTGATTTAAACTAAATAAGGTCCAACACTTTATTTATCAAACATCGAAGCTTTATTATTACTAGCACTCAACTGTGGCTTTACACGTTCGTGTAATTTGTATTCCATTTAAAGTGATAAATGCTTTCATACCTTTAGCATAATATGGAATTACATAGAATATATTACGTTGGATTTATTTAATTAAATCCAAATTATACTATGATGTACATATGCTTTTAATTTAACATATAGGTAACCGCATACTTTTATTCGATCTATTTCAACTGCTCGTACTTTAATACTAATACTTGGGCATTTCAAGCTATGTTTGTCATTTTGTTGCTTGTTTAAATTACTTATGCATAATTATTCAGATCCCAGAACTTGAAGTGTGATGCTATGTAGCCTGTAAGCTTTCAAAATAAATAAGCTACATAATGCAAAAAGAACTTCTCTAATCAGTCTGATAGTTTAAAGATAGGCGTGTCCTATCAAACAAACAAACTCTTCAGATTTATCATACTAGTAAATATATAGCCCTGTGGTAATGCGTAGCTTGGGAAGCCAAATAAAGTGGGTTCAAATCTTGGTTTGCACCTCTGAAATTGTCATGAGCGAATCGTTTCCAACGTAATTACCACTTGATTTACGGTAAAGAAAAACACGGCGAGGAAACCTGCGAGTCTGGAACAATCTAGCAAGTTTTCAAAGGACGTGTGAAGTCCGCTAACTCACACTTGGCCAGCGTGGTGGAATATGGCCTGATCCACTTTGTGTTCAGCAGTGTGACGTTAAAAAAAACTGAAGACAATACAGTACAAACATATATACTCTATACTGAATAAGGAAAAACCTTAGAATGAATAAACACAATATTTAAAAGATTAGATTTACAAATCGCTTAGGAACGCAAAAGCACATATTATGTTTCTTTGTTATTTGCTACCACAAAAGATACTGAGCGGCTTGAGATCAAAACACTCCCGTCTCTAGGCTACCAATCCACTGTTTTAACTGTTGCTCAGCTATTTATAATATCTATACTAATATTATAAATGTAAAAGTTTGTGACGATGGATGGATGTTTGTTATTCTTTAACATCAGAATGGTTGAACGGATCTAGACAGTTATTTTTATCCTGGAAAAATGTACGGTTACCGTGGGTTAGATTTGTCTTTGTCTAGGGACGAAGCGAAGCGAGGGTGAGTCGCTAGTATGAAATAGTTTGTCGTTAGTCAAATTCAAATTCCCTTGTCAATATTGATGTAAACAAAATTTTCTTGATTATTATTGTTATTAACGTTAAATAACTCTACCAGCAGTTTGAAAAAATATCTCGATCCTGTGAAGAATTGCCTTAATAGACTAAGCGTATTAGATTTTTAAAACATTTTTTCCACAACAAAAGCTTTTACATTATGTATAATTTCTTAAATACAAGTCATCGACATTTTAGATTTATTTAAAAAAGATAAGTCTGACGAAGAGAGTTTAACGTGAACCTTGGAATATATGACATATTCTAACCATGTGACATAACACTTAAACGCCTTTCTCTCTAGTATCACTAATCTAGCTCCTTTCTATCAGGTTATGTATATAGATTGGTGATTACAATAGAAGATGAATTATTTAGATGAAGACTATTTATGATAATAGTATTTATACACAAACAGACAGATAGATATAGAGTAATACGTAAGCATAAAATATTATGTTAACGCTTT